GGCGGGGCGGGGCGGGGCGGGGCGGCCGCTGCCCAGTCATGGATTCCTCGCACCGTGTGCTCGTCCGCTGGCGGGGCGCGGCCGGCGCGGCTTGGTGTGTAGGACCTAGGGCCGAAAGTGTGTGTGTGTGTGTGTGTGTGTACTTGGACGACTGCAGCGGCGTGCTGGTCGACCTTGGATTGCAGTTTGGCAGCTCTCGTGGAGGAGTGCCTTCATTGCCTGCGGAAGTGCTACACAACAACACAAGCAGGGTGGGCGTTCTTCACTGTTTTCTGGTTGAACTGTGTATACCGAATGCGGTACAGTTCGACCAGAAAACAAGTGCGCGGCTTTTAGAGCGCCCAACCCTCCTACGTACCCAACCGTAGTACCCTTTTCTTCTGGTCCAGCAGCTCTGACCAGTATTACAGGAGAGGTAGAGAGGGGGAGGAGGGGGTGAAGGGCCAGCCCCGAGGGACCACCACCTCGAGGTGCACTCGTTGCCGTCGAGCCCAACCGGTCGGTCACCAGCCATAAACCACTGGCTGCGCACGGTTGCAGCCCGCCCCGCCACGCCCTATCTGCTCTCGCTTTCTGCGGTGGAACCCGAGCCCAGCGGAGGCACTGGGACCTTAAAATGACACGATGACACACGTGTGTCCTTACGCCCCACCGGTGCGCCCCGGCGGTCCCCGCGCCGTCCCCTCTGGTTGTTGTCACTCCCCCCTCCTCCCCGCCCACCCAGAGGCATGCCACCCAGTACCCAGTACACACGGAGGAGCATTGCGAGGGAAGTTTAAAAGCTATCTTCGCATATCCCTTAGGTCGGACCTGCGGAATTTAAATTTATTTGCAAAAACCACTGATAGCGCGTGTTGTATTTCATACGCATGTCTCGTGCAACAGAAAAAAAAGCCATTTGTTTATTTAAAAAAAAAATAAGTACGAAGGCCGTACGTAAAGGAGGTCGGCGCGGCGTTTGGCTGCACTTTTGCACACAGCCGACTGATTCCTTTCGATAATTTGCAGAGTACACCTCTCTGGGGTACACGAGAGAGGGCCCCTTCTCTGGGGCCGTCGAACTCGCATCCGCCGTGGCGGGGTCGACTGTTCGACGCACACTGGAAAAAAAAAGTACCAACGAAATTCACCACCGGGGTTTCAATCAGAAAAGTTATCTTTCATATCTTTTCAATTTAAGTCCAATGATTCATTTAAAAAAAATATATTCTGGAATAGGCCCAACGTCAGTTGCACATCATCTAGAAGGGTTGTTGCAACGAGACAGAATGGTTTGCCAGCGGGGTAGACCGGACATTTTTCTGTTGTATTTTTTTTCTCATCCAGGCAACAACTTTTGCCAGTGCACCTCTATCGAACCTCGTAGAGGCGCCGCGCCCCGCGGCTGGCCGGCCGGCGGCCACGGTCAAGGGCACGCACTCGTGGAACAGGTGGGGCACGGCCGAGCACGGCCGAGCGAGGGAACAACGACCTCTACGGGGAGGCGAGGACCACGACGACAGCCCTACGGACCACACGGAAAGTGTTAGGTTTGATTGGAACGGGTCACGCGTTTCTCTCGCTCACGCACACACACACACACACACACACACACACACACACACACACACACACACACACACACACACACACACATCCACCGAGAAGGGATTGGCACGGTCGGAGTCCTTGGCGACCAGGGCCAAGGCCACCACCACTGCGGCCAGCAGCTCACCGTTGAGTAACTTGCACTCCTTCCTCAGGAAGGTGGTATCCGGGTGCTCAGGTCACTCCTCCCCGAGCTCCTGCGGCACGTCCCCGTCGTCCTCGGCGCGCAGGTGAGCAGCGCCGGGTGGCGCCCTCGCCGGGATGGGTCGTCGGCAGGGCTGGTGCTGGTGCGGCGGGCCGGCGGCGGCGGCGGCCGGGACAAGTGCCGTCGCGGCGGGGCGGGGCGGGGCGGTGTTCTCCTGCACAACGCGCTTGCTCTGAGGTGCGGCCGGGCGCGCGTACGCTCCGCGAAGGACTGGCAGGATGGACGGACGGACCGGGGGACGGGCCCGACTATGGGCTGGGTTGGGCACAGTGGGGCGGGGCGGGGCGGGGCTGCCGGGCAGGAACAGGCCAGGGCACCGCAGCAGGGCACAGCCCGGCCCGTGGCGGCGGGGCGGGGCGCGGCGCGGCAGGGGAGGGTAGCATTCCCTCTCCCGGCCCATTTATCAATGAATAACCCTTCCCCCTCCCATCTCTGCCTGGACCCACTCCCCCTCCTCCCCCTCCCCTCCCCCGCCCCGCCTGGTCCAGCGCCACGCTCCGCCATGGATGCGCGGTGTGAACCTGGCTTTGGCTCCGCACCGAACGCGGTAAGTCCCCACCACAAATTCAAGCATACGCCGACTTTTCTGGGTTTTTCGCTGACTTGTAGTGATTTTTTTTTCTGACTTTTTAATGTATACTTGTCCTTAATTTCTTCTGATGTTTTACTGTTATTTTTGTCGACGCACTGCTAATTTTTTTTTTTCGATCTACCCACGAGATATTTCGAGCTATACTCTATTTCGGCAAGTATTATGAGAAAGTAAAGACCCTTCGTCAGACTTTGTGCCACCCACTTTGGGACGTCATACACTCGTCGCTCATGACGTCGGTCTTGGTTTGCCTCCGGTGGAGCTGGTGCAGCAGGTGCAGCTGGTTGTGCAGTCGGGGATTGAAGCCGGTGCCTTCCGCCTGTAGAAGAGAGCGGGGAGCGCGCCGCGCGGGCGCGGGGAGAGCCATTTGTAGGAAGAGCACCGAGCACGAGGCCGTTTTCATTATTTGTGCGAGGGAGGGGTGAGGGGGTGTGTGGTCTTTCGGAGAGGTGCAGTGTGGGGACGTAATTAGTCAATGAATTATTTTTAATTATTTCGACTGCCGACCAGGCTGGAAGCGTGTACTTCCAGGGCAAATACCGGGGCAAATAGCTTCGTAGCACATAATATAATTTGCCTCGAGGTAAACTTTGCAGTTCTCTTGTCAGTTCTCCTGGTTATCGCTGTGCACGCCGTCGTGGCGGCCCGTGTAGCGAGGGCGACGGGTGTCTCCTCCGGAAGGACTCTGTTCCCTCTGGGCCCGGCCGCCTGCACGCTGCTGACGCGCCCGCGCCCGCGCGGCCCACCCTCTGCTGCGCGCGCCGCTGCCGTGCAACACCAGCTGCTCGGGGGAGATGCGCGCAGATGTCGCCGCGGCGGGGAAGTCGGTCATCTCTGCAATTGAGACCCATTCAGCATGTTGCACACGGGTAGGTTATCCTATTGAGTCGAATTGGCGAGGCGGGCTTGGGGACGCGGGGCGAGCCGGGCTGTCCGTCAGCTCGGCGCAGCGCAGCTCAAGCGCGCTCAAGAGGAGGCAGAGGTTGGCTGTCCTGCACCCCGCCGTCGCCGCGGGCTCTATGAACCTGACCTTGTTCAAATGTGTGATCCATCATCTCCGTCGGTGGGACGCGCTCATTGGCCCGTAGGGCAGGGCAGTGTGCAGCGGGGCCAAGGAATTAAGGGCAGAGTCGCGCCGTTGCGGTAGGGCAGGGCAAGGGAAGGGCGCGGAGCTGTAGGGACAAGGACGGGCCGACTTGGGGCAGGGGAAGAGGGAGGAGGACGGGTGGAGTGAGGACAGGGGCGGCGACAAGGGCGGCCAGAGTAAGGGCGGGGGAAAAGGGGCAGAGATAGGGCTGGGCGGGGTAGTCTTACTCTTCGTCAAACTGCTCCGGAATGCAAAGTGAGAAATTGTGACGACGCTAGATCGGACAAGAAATCGTTGAAAGTCAATACAGGACGAGCAGGGGCCGGTGTTCTCGTCGCCCCAGTCTGGAGGCCTCTCGTCTCTGCGGCGGCGTACGCGGCAGGGCTCGAAGTGTTGCCTACCGCCCCGGCGGCGGCGCGCTGCAGAGGTGACTGTGAGTGAGGGTGCATGCCGCCGAGGCCGCCGCCGGGCGGGTAGGCCAGGCCGCCTGGGCGCTCCGCACGCGTGTCGTGCGGGCGGGCCTACCCTGGCTGGCCACGGCGGACCGTCCCAGCGACACCCGCGACCAAGCGGCCCCGGCGGCCTCTGCGGCTCCGCACACGGGAAAACCTCACGACCAGGTCAAAAGGGTCACCTTTCACGTCAAATCGGTGCGTATTTTTTTTTTTAACCCGATTTAGAAGAAGGGGCGTCAATTTGATATGTACGCGTGAGGTTTCGTTGTTAGTTCGGGGTGGACTGATCGGGTGCGGGGAGTTCATGTTATTTCTGTATATTTTGGTGCTTTTTTGGCTTCCGTTTCACTAGGAAAAATTTCAAAACGACTAAATACAGCTTACAGATATTTTTATTTACACAATCTGATACAATAAATTATGACGGGCACCTATTTTGAGCAGCGGAGCCACAATCGCCTTCACCACCACAGTTAAAGAACAGACTGGAAGAAAACAATTCTTCCTTTCCTTTCACGATGCGACGTACACGGGGTCGCCCACAGACACCTCTCCCATCGAGTAGTTGCTCATGTTCAGGCCCATCATGGGCGCATTTTCTCCCATCTTCTTTATCTGCTCTGCGTTTGGCTTGCGGAACCTGTGCGCAAAACAGGGAAATTCAACATTTCTTACCGTTTCACGTCGCTGTTTTTCCTCTTTGGGAAATATATACTGCTCACGTGTTCAGAGTCCTCAGCGGTTCTACGTTTGCCGACTTTATGCCAGTCGCTGGGTCGATGGTCGTAAAAACGCATCTGAGAGAGAAAAAGTTGAATGTAAACTTCCTACACACGGAGGCAAAGTGTGTGAAGCTCTAAGGAAAATTCACACCCTTTACTCCCTTAGGTGGACTAGAATGGAGATTTTACACATTTAAAAGTTGGTGACATTCACACACTTGCGTTGCCAGTGTGAGTGTATCGCTTACGCACCTGCCGCACGGCATCACCACGCGGAACACGGCCTTGTCGCCGATGCGAACCCAGGACCAGCCGTCCTCCTCGAAGGCGGCGGCCCCGTCCACCACGAAGTTGGGCCGGAACTGGCGGGCCACGGCGGCGGGGCTAGACATCTTGGCGTTGAGCGCCGCCAGCGAGGACCTGGACAGCAGGTTAAAGGCCGTCACATCGGAGTAGATCCCCTGCAATAGCCGGAGGCAGTGTTGTAAGTCGATTTTTCGCAGATATGACGGGGTCGTTCGTTCAGAAAGAACACGTCAGTGTCGTCACCCACCATGTCCTTCGGGGACGTCATTTTGTGAGGCGTTCGGTCCGTGCGCTGCGAGGGGAAGAAGGCCAGGCGCAGGTCCGCGTTGGCCGTGGCCTCGCCGAGCACAACGGCGTCGACGGCCGCCCTCCGGATCCAGGCGGCGGCCTCGTCCCCGCAGTCGACCGCCGACACGCTGTTGGTCTGGACGCTGTGGGGCAGAGGAGGGGCAGTCAGCGACGGGTGTATGGTGACAGAGGTGCACGACCCGCGACCGAGACTTGCCTGATCGTCTTCTTCTGAAAGCCGGCCAGGTCCGCCGGGTCCACCGTCAGCGGGGTCGGCACCCGGCTGCTCCGAAACTCAAACACCACGTCGTCGAGGGACTTGCCGTCCCTGGAGACGGCCCTCACCTCGACCAGCAAGAGACCCGGGTGCGAGCGCCCGGACACGAAGCACCCGTTGCGGTTAACGGCGACGAACACCCTGTGAGAAGGCGGGGGGAGGGAACAATGATCATCACCCAAGTACACCGTCACAATTAAATGATAGTACTTGCAGTACAACACAATAAATACACGAACCGGTCGCGAAGGCCCCCCTGTCCGTAGCAGAGGCCCTGCTGGGTGGCGAGCAACGTGTCGGTGTAGATGGGGCTGCCCGACTTGAGCGGGTAGAGGGCGAGCTCGGAGAGGGTGCCGACACGGCGCCACTGCGACTCGGGGGGCGGGCGGGGGCCGGCTAGGCTCCGCGCCGCCGCCGCTGCCACCCCTAGACCAACCGCCACGGCCGCCCCCGCTGCCACCGCCAGCGCGCGCCCAGGGGCTGCAGGAGGACAACAAGGACCATCAGCTGGGCGAGTGCCCCCCGCGGGAACTGATACTCGCCGACACAAAACTCGACAATGAGTTTGTTAATTGTATTATCTTTGCCCTTGTTGGCTGAGATAAAACCGTGCTAAATTTTACTGTACTTTACAATAATAATATCAGGAAGCCCAGTTTCCGGTCCAAAGCGGTCAAAAGAAAGTCGCTAATCCAACAGACAGCACAGCTTTCAGCATTTCCCTATTTTTCTCTTTTTTTAAAGAAAGGAAGAAAGTAATTACAATCAGTGAACAATGAAACGAGCAGTGACAAAATGTGTAAACAAAACTGTAATGAAATGTGTTTTTTTCCCAAACTGGACGCGGGTTTTCAACGACGCGGGTCTCGAGGAGGGGCTCACCGGCAGACACCGTCTCGGGGACGAGGGTCATGGTGGCGAGTGGGAGGGTACTCGGAACCCAGAACGATGTCGACCGAGCGGACAAGAGTAGTGCCCAGCCGTGGTAGTGGGGGCTCCGAACGTCGCGGTCTTCTCTTGTTGGTCGGTGGTGCTCAACGGCGGCCTTCTCCCACTTAACTGCCTCGGTCCGTACGGCGCGCAATTAGTACATGATTCGAATTGAGCCGCCGCGAAAAGAAAAACACGAAGAAGACGGAGAAAGGATGATAAGAGGCTAGGGACGAGGACAGTCGGACCGTGCGCGGCGGGGGGGAAGCCCGGGCTAGCGGCCGCATGGGGTGCCTACCTCCCCGGCGCTGTCCCCGCCTCAACTAATTCAGTTGAATTTAATAAAATTTACATTCAATTTAAATAAATTCAAGTCAATTCACGCTAAACCAATTCAAAAACAATTCAACCAATTCAGTCCAATTCAAATTCAAGCCAATCCAAACAAATTCAAATTTAATTTTTGAAATTTGTACACCCAATTCATCCCTCGCGGGTAGACCACTGGACAACTGTTTTTGCCAACTTCCCTTTTTCACGAGTTGTAGCAGACAGCTCACACGAACGCACGTGTCGAGCGTAACGACAGCCAGGCGTATTGTATGCAGCAGCATAATTGGAATGATTCTGTTTGTGGCGTGCTCTCTCTATGAGCGGTCTAGTAAAGTCATTTGTGTAAAAAAGAAGCTCGACACCTTTGTGGTACGTCTTACGTTTCAACGGGCTTCAGTATTAACTTAGAAATAAAAGTTTAAACGCAAGAGTTGAATAGTACGGCTTCTTTTATTATCACTTTTTCAGACACAAAATAAAACACACAAAAATTTACCATTTAGTTTCAGTGCCCTCACTAAAATTCAAGATTATGGCCAGCTTAAACATCTCACGATGCGACGTACACGGCATCGCCCACAGACACCTGTCCCATCGAGTGGATGCCCAACCTGATGCCGAACATGCCCGAGTTGCCCCCCATCTTCTTGGTCTGCTCCGCGTTCGGCTTCCGGATCCTGTAGGGCAATAGCGCGGGAAATTTGAAATCCTATATATTTCCGTATAAAAACTGGAAACTTTTCAAGAAAAATTCAGAAAAACACTAAATGTTTCCAGAAAAATTGTAAAAAAATTAACACTTTTTAGCAAAAGATTCTTGAAAAAATTAAAATCCCTGTATTGCACACTGGGAGAGTACTCACGCATTCAGAGTCCTCAGCGGTTCGACGTTTTCAGCCTTGACTCCAGTCTCCGGGTCGACGGTTGTGAGGAGGCATCTGGGAAATAAAATGGGAGCGCTCATTTTATAAACGTATTTATAGCACAGGGTTCTGGGGAGTGGACTTTTTCTCAATCATCTCGAGCTAAACTAACTGAACGCTTACAGGAAAACCCAAGCTTCAGAATGTCATACACGTGTAGGTGTTGATAAAACGCCATTCCTACACACGGAGGCACAAAGTGTGTGAAGCTCTAAGGAAAATTCACACCCTTTACTCCCTTAGGTGGACTAGAATGGAGATTTCACACATTTAAAAGTTTGCGACATTCACACACTTGCGTTGCCAGTGTGAGTGTATCGCATACGCACCTGCCGCACGGCATCACCACGCGGAACACGGCCTTGTCGCCGATGCGAACCCAGGACCAGCCGTCCTCCTCGAAGGCGTTGGTCCCGTCCACCAAGAAGTTGGGCCGGAAGTTGAGGGTCGTGACGGGGCTGTCCAGCTTGGCGTTGAGCGCCGCCAAGGATGAGCTGGTCGTCAGGTGGTAGGCGGTCATGTCGGAGTAGATCCCCTGCAGAGGAAGACAAGAAGAACCATCAACGTTTTCGTATAAATTGACTCCGCCCGCATGCGCTATGCTATGGGGGACCTTCGTGCTCAAGTAACGTCATTTTACGACGAAGGTGGCACTTTGAATCTCCGGCGATTCTATCAGCCCATGTTAATTGTACCACATCGATGAGTGGGGTGACTTTATCACGATGCCTAGAAAGCTCTATTTTCTAACTACCACGAAAGGCCGCAAAAAAAGTACTTCTGTAACACGTTGCTCACCATGACCTCGGGAGACGCCACTTTGTACGGCGCTCGGTCGGTGCGCTGCGAGGGGAAGAAGGCCAGGCGCAGGTCCGCGATGGCCGTGGCCTCGCCGTGCACCTCCGCGTCGACGGTCGCCCTCCGGATCCAGGCGGCGGCCTCATCCCCGCAGTCTACGGCGGACACGCTAGTGCCCTGGACGCTGGGAACAGACAGGGAGGTGGGACCAGCGGCGGCCGACGTTGTGGCGAAGGAGAATAACGCGGCTGAAACTTACGATATCTTCTTCTTCGCAAAGCCGGCCAGGTCTGCCGGATCCACTTTCAGCGGGGTGGGCACCCGGCTGCTGTGGAACTCGAACACCACGTCGTCAAGGGACTTGCCGTCCTTGGGCACGGCCTTCACGTCGATCTTCATGAGACCCGGGTGCGTGCGCCCGGACACGAAGCACCCGTTGCGGTTGACGGCGACGAACACCCTGTGAGAAGGTGAGGGGGGAAAAGACAAGAAAACAGTCGGTTACCGCGGCCCATTTACATCCTCCTGTTCCAAATGAATCACATGGGCAGGGCACCTACCTGTCGCGGAGGGCGCCCTGACAGACGCCCTCTCGAGTGGCGAGCAGCGAGTCGGTGTAGAGGGGCCGGCCGGACTTGAGCGGGAAGAGGGCGAGCTCGGAGAGGGTGCCGACACGGCGCCACTGCGACTCGGGGGGCGGGCGGGGGCCGGCCAGGCTGCGCGCCGCCGCCACCCCCAGGCCCACCGCCACGGCCGCCCCCGCTGCCACCGCCAGCGCGCGCCCGGGGGCTGCAGGAGGACAACAAGAACATAAGAGGGCAGTCAGCTGGGTTCGAGCGCACTCGCACGGGAACTCGGTGCAGCGCCGACAGATGGTTGATGTTGACAGAGGCGCCATTCCGCGTCCTTATCACTGACCCCCCCCCCTCCCCTCCCTATAACCCTTTTCACACGAACTCTTCGCTTCAGGCGCTTCAGGCTGGTCTCAGGCAAACTGTCTACAAAACCACCAAACAATAACAAACAAGAAAAAACCTTAGATGCGCAACAGCCGGAACCGGATTATTAAAAACCAGCTCGCAATCGCCATCATCGCATTAACCGACGAGTCGCAAACTTTTACAGAAGAAAGGCGTTAGAAAGAGAAAACAGGGCGCATCAGTAGCGGCGCACAGTATTGATTTGCTGATCGATCACTTTACTTGTTTTTAACGCAGCGCGTGACGAGATTTCTCTCTCGGCGCCCCTCACCTGCAGACACGGTCTCGGGCAGGAGGGTCATGGCGGAGGAAAGGAGCTGCAGGGCGTGTCCTGTCCTTCGGGGATCACGACGACGACGACGGCGGAGGCGGTTCACTCCCCGGGAGAGTGGTGTGATGCGGTGAACTGCGCGGCTCTCTCTCTCCCTCTTCACGACGTGTAGCACAACAACAACCCGTGGTCTCTGACGCGCGGCTCTCGACTGACACGATTCGGCTGTGCTGCTGCGGGCGAGAGGCAGGGAAAGGGGGGGGGGGGGGGGATGTGTGAGTGTGGTGCGAATAGCGAGCTGCTAGCGGAGGGATGGCGGCGGAGGACCGGGCGACACGGCGAGTGTGGCCGGCAGGCTGGTTTGTGCCGGTCCCCCCTCCCCCCTCCCTCCCTCTCCCTGACTGGTTCCAGGCCTGCTCCAAGGACTTCAGGAGGACAGCAGCCGGTGCAGGCCGCCGTCGTCCTGGGCCACACGACCGACGTGGAGGTCGCGTGGGACGCCTGCCTCCTGGGCGCCGCCGCAGCGTAAGTTAGCGCCCAGCGCCGCCGGCTCAGGGTCCCCGACCACGCACCCTCCCTCCGTTAGTTTTCAAAGAAACGTTCCCAAGCCTGACGTGCGGTGCGTCAAAGGCCACAGCAGTGCGTAGAAATAAAGCCCATGAATTGGCTGAAACTGGGCAAAACAATGGGTATTATTCAAATCACGATTGGCTTTACTGTATCAGCTGTGGGGTCGTCCAGAAAGTTCGCCCGGGTGCATTCGGGAAAATTACGGGAGCTCAGCGCCTGTGAGACTCGGGGTAGGCCACCCCGCAGTGCCCCCATGCATTGCAGGAAAGTTGTTGCCTACCCACCAGGCGCTAAGTGAGCTTGCAATGGACGAACTTGGATATTTCGAAACGTAAATAAAGGACGTTCTTCCCGGATGATCCCTACACAACGGGCTGCGCTTTGAATTTAGGAAAATGTGCTCAGGTGATGAGAACGACGTGGATTTCAAAAACATTGTTTTGTTTCTTTGTATCGGTTCGACACCAAAACTCGGCAGATATTCGGGTCATCCTTTCGATATCGTTCCGATACCATGGCCGAAAGTCTACCGGTAATGGTGAATTCTCTCCCACAGTGAGGGGGTGGGGGGCATGCGCACCGGGTCATGCGTCAATTCCGATCCAGAACTGAGACGCCGCTCGGCCTTAAAGCCGGGATCGCGACGAGTGCCGAGTGCACTCCACTGTCTGGTGGACATGGCGACCGCGCTGCTCCTGTGCGTCGTGGCGGCGCTGGCGTGGGCCACCGGGGCCGTCAGCGGCCTTCTCCACCTGCTCCGCGGCCTCGCCGGCCTCCTCCGCGGCCTCGCCGAACTGTTCCGCGTCCGCCGCCTGACGGCCGCCCTCCCGGGTCCGGGGCTGACCGCCCTGCTGCAGCGCGCGCTGCGCGGGGGCGGGCGCGCCTCGCGCCGGGCCGGCACCTACGAGGTCCTCACCGAGCTGTGCTCCAGGTACGCGGCCAGCCCGGCCTTCCGGGTGTGCGTCGGCCACGCCACCACCGTGTTCCTGTTGCGGCCCGACGACATCGGCGCGGTGCTGTCCAGCACGCGCTTCGCCACCAAGTCGTCGCTGTACTCGGCGCTGGAGCCGCTCATCGGCAGCGGGCTGGCCATACTGGCGGGCGAGGACTACCGGCGCCACCGGAAGGCCGTCACCCCGAGCCTGCACCTGGACGTGCTCAAGGAGTTCGCGCCCGTCTTCTACAAGCACGGCCAGGTCTTGGCGGACAGCCTGGCGGCCCGCGACGGCAGCGTCCTGGACGTGGTCAGTCTGTGCGGCGACTGCGCCAACGCGGCCATCTGCGAGACCGTCATGACCACGGACGTCGCCGACGACGACCTCGGGCGGCAGGGCTTCCTCGCTGCCATTCCGGAGGCCAACAAGCACTTCATGTTCAGGCTGAGCAGACCGTGGTTCCTCGGGGAGTGGGCCTTCAAGTTGAGCGGCCGCTACGCCGCCTACCTGGACACCAAGCGCGCGCTGGACGACTTCACGGAGAGGATCATCCGGGAGAAGAAGAGTCGCCTGGTCGCGGCCTCGACGGGCACGCCGCCGTGCGCCGCCCCGAGCACGACGCGACCGCCTGGGGGTCGTCTCGCCTTCCTGGATCACGTGCTCTGCTCGGCAGAGGGCGCGGCCCTGGGCGACGACGAGCTCGCCGCGGAGGTCAAGACCCTAGTGGCCATCGCCTCGGGCTCGTCCATGGACACGCTCAGCCTCTTCCTCCAGACCATCGCCATCCGGCAGGACATACAGGAGGCCATATGGAAGGTGAGCAAAGCCAAGTATTGTTGTTCAGTAATTATTTGGGCCATTTCAACAAGCGGAACGCGCAGGACTTTCTGCTTCCCTGTGCCGCTAGAGGCACAGGAAGGTGTTGCAAGACCACGGCGTGACCCCGACCGCCGTCGTGCGTCACCCGGTCATGTGGTCCTTCGAGTCCTTTCTTGTTGCATCGGGGGGGTCGAGCAGCGCAATATGGTATAGTGTCGCTGTCCGCAGGAGGTGACCGACGTCGTGGGTGAGGACGCGTCCCGGGCGCTGTCCGCGGCCGACCTGCAGCGCCTGCAGTACACGGAGCGCGTGTTCAAGGAGGTGCTGCGGTTCTACAGCGTGGTGCCGCTGTTCGCGCGGCGCAGCCCCGAGGACGTCCGGCTGCCGTCGGGGGTCCTGGTGCCGCGCGGCTGCCACGTCGCGCTCTGGCTGCCGCACGTGCACCGGTGCGCCGAGCACTTCCAGGACCCCGACGAGTTCGACCCGGACCGCTTCCTCCCGGAGCGGGCGCGCGGCCGCCACCCGTACGCCTTCCTGGCCTTCAGCGCGGGGCCCCGGAGCTGCGTCGGCCAGCGGTACGCGCTGCACTTCCTCAAGGCCGTGGCCGCCGCCCTGGTGCTGCGGCTGCGCTTCGCGGTGCCCGCCGGCGGGCCCAGCCGCCCCCAGGACGTGCCCCTCCTGCTCAACCTCACCACCTGCGTCCGCGGCGGCGCCAAGGTGCTCGTCAGAGTGCGGCCGCCGCGGCCGCCGCCACCAGGCCTCCCCCCGCGCCCGACGACGCCGCGGGAGGGCCAGGGAGTACATTGAGGGTGGCGCAGAAAGCTCTGCAGGCTCGCCTTTTCCCAACGCGATGCCGCGCTGAACGTCCCTGTTTTTAGCTACACTGCGCCCGACGCGCGCCGGGCTGCTAGGCACCCCGTCGCGCGCGCTCGCGTAGGTTTGCCTACCGTGAGTTTGCAGGCGCCACCGTCCGCTCCCAAATTTGTTGTTTGCAATAACCAAAATAGTCAAATTGTAAATTAAATGAAATCTACGAGCATTGTATTTATTATTATTTATCGTTTTTCTTCCATGTTGTCGTGTTTTCTTACAAATTTTTTGGCCGAGCATCTAATGGAGAATCTGAGATTATTTGTCCAGAATCTTATCTGGAAACTAACAAGATGTGGTATCTACTATATTTTACCCGAAGATAACATTTTGGATAGTATATATATCTAGATTCTTACAAGATCTATATCTTATCTGAAGATAAAATTTTGGCCACTATCTTTTATCTTTTTATCTAGATAGATTTACAGAGTATCTTGCACAGCACTGGTCCCTAAGACATTGTCAGCTTTTCCATATCTTGCCATGCCGAACTTGTGTTAGTAGAGGCACAGAGTAAAAGTCAAGAAACAAAAGTACATATTCTCCGTGTTCAAGGATCTTCCAATTTTCTTTGGTGATATTTTACGTTGTGTTGATTTGTTTATGCTCTAATAAATTATATTCAAGCACTCTTTTCTACTGAACTTGCAGAACTATTCTTATTCCTCCTAATCAAAAGATATCCATACATACTAAGGATGAGCCATTTCCTTCTTCGGTTTACTCATTCAATTATTTCCCTAGAGATGGTGTATTGAAAGATCATTTGAAGAAAAACATGTATTATCTTGCTGATGCAAAGATTTGTCCCAGCATGGTTCAACTTTGAGATTCCAGCATTTCAAATTAAGCTCACGATTTCGAATTATGTAGTGATGGATACACGGAACTGTAGTCTAGTCAGCTCAGGGCAATGTCTGACAGCCTCGAAGAAGGAATGTTAAATTAATACAGCTAATTCACCATGCATTTGTCAGGTCAAAGAATTGTGGGCTTCGTGACTTTACAAGCATGTGCAAAGTAACCAACTTTGATTGGTGCAATAGGCTTAGGGCGACTTGCGAAATGAAAGTAGTAAAAATGGTGGAAATGAAATAATTTTTTTATTGAACGACTTATCAAATCATGATTTTTGTTACCGTAGGAATGTCAGCACTGAATGTGTTTGATGGGTTGTCAGTTGGGTTGTCCGTTTGGTAGGCCGTCGGGTTGACCGTTGGACGTCGATTGGTTTAGTCGACCTCCTCGATGGTGGGGCCAGCGCCTCCAGCACCGCCGGCGCCAGGGGCGGCACCACCAGCTCCGGGGAAGCCACCAGGCATACCACCGGGCATGCCACCGGGCGCGCCACCGGCGCCCTGGTACAGCTTGGTGATGATGGGGTTGCACACGGCCTCGACCTCCTTCTGCTTGTGCTCGTACTCCTCCTTCTCGGCCAGCTGGTTGGCGTCGAGCCACTTGACGGTCTCGTTGCACTTGTCGAGGATCTGAGTCTTCTCGCTCTCGGAAATCTTGTCCTTCATCTTGTCGTCCTCGACCTGATTGAAATAAAAAGTTCGATCAGCAACCAGTTAGAAAACAGCAGAGAAAACAGAAATTGTTCCAAGTGAAGGGGGCGCTACTTACGGTGCTCTTCATGTTGAAGCAGTAGGACTCGAGCGCGTTCTTGGCGGTGATGCGCTCCTTCTGCTGCTCGTCCTCGTTGCGGTACTTCTCGGCGTCGTTGACCATGCGCTCAATCTCCTCCTTGCTGAGACGGCCCTTGTCGTTGGTGATGGTGATCTTGCTCTCCTTGCCGGTGGACTTGTCGCAGGCAGACACGTTCAGGATACCGTTGGCGTCAATGTCGAAGGTGACTTCAATCTGGGGAACGCCACGAGGAGCCGGGGGAATTCCAGAGAGCTCGAACTTGCCAAGCATGTGGTTGTCCTTGGTCATGGCACGCTCACCCTCGTAAACCTGCAGAAAATTTAAGAAAAGTTAGAACACTAACCACTTGGATGAGCGAGGAATCACTTTACAAGTAAAGACTACAAACCTGAATGAGTACTCCGGGCTGGTTGTCCGAGTAGGTGGTGAAGGTCTGGGTCTGCTTGGTGGGGATGGTGGTGTTACGCTTGATGAGCACGCTCATGACGCCACCAGCAGTCTCGATGCCCATGGACAGAGGGGCGACATCGAGCAGTAGCAGGTCCTGGACGGCCTCGGACTTGTCTCCGTGGAGGATGGCGGCCTGGACGGCGGCACCGTAGGCGACAGCCTCGTCGGGGTTGATGGACTTGTTGAGCTCCTTGCCGTTGAAGAAGTCTTGGAGAAGCTTCTGCACCTTGGGGATACGGGTGGAACCTCCGACAAGGACGATTTCGTGAATGGCAGCCTTGTCCATCTGAAAAAGGACAATTTCGGTCAGAGAATGTTCACAAGACAGAAAACAGAAAAACAAAGGTATTAATCAGTTACAGAAACTAACCTTGGCATCACGCAGGGCCTTCTCCACAGGGTCCATGGTGGCACGGAAGAGGTCAGCACACAGTTCCTCAAAACGAGCACGGGTGATGGAGGTGTAGAAGTCAATTCCTTCGAACAGGGAGTCGATCTCCACAGATGCCTGGGTTGAGGATGAAAGGGTACGCTTCGCCCTTTCACAGGCAGTCCTCAAACGCCTGAGAGCCCTCTTGTTGCTGGTGAGCTCCTTCTTGTACTTGCGCTTGAATTCAAGGACGAAGTGGTTGACCATACGGTTGTCGAAATCTTCACCACCAAGATGGGTGTCACCAGCGGTGGACTTGACTTCAAAGATACCATCTTCAATGGTCAGGATGGACACATCAAAAGTACCACCACCAAGATCGAAAATGAGGACATTGCTCTCCTTGCTGCCCTTCTTGTCGAGACCATAAGCGATGGCAGCAGCAGTGGGCTCGTTGATAATACGGAGGACGTTCAGTGCAGCAATGGTACCAGCATCCTTGGTGGCCTGACGCTGAGAATCATTGAAATATGCGGGTACGGTGACTACGGCGTTGGTGACAGTCTTGCCAAGGTATGCTTCCGCAGTCTCCTTCATCTTTGTGAGGACCATAGATGAAACTTCCTCAGGGTAGAAAGTCTTAGCCTCGCCCTTGAACTCCACCTTCAGTTTGGGTTTGCCACCTTCGCTGATAACAGTGAAAGGCCAGTGCTTCATGTCCGACTGGACTGTAGCATCTTCAAATTTACGGCCGATCAAACGTTTGGCATCTGAAATTCAACAAATATACAAGGTTAAATATTGCACTGACTTCCTAACACTTGAAAGAAATGAAAGCAAAGAACTGTGCACAACATGGTTTGTCTCATGGCTAATAAACACCAACGAGGATATGGAATATGCCGAACTTTCTCACTGCATAACAGGAGTAACTGCTATACGAAGCCATGGCTAAGACTAAACTGCACAAAATCAAGCAGCTCCACAGCCATTGAGACAAGGTTGGCCAGTTTCCTAGCCACCTCCCTCTTCAGCTCCAGAAAAATAAACAAAGAATCTGAATTAAACTTACCAAAGATGGTGTTACTGGGGTTCATGGCTACTTGGTTCTTAGCGGCATCTCCAATGAGACGCTCGGTGTCAGTGAAAGCCACATAACTAGGGGTGGTTCTGTTACCCTGGTCATTGGCGATAATCTCAACCTTTCCGTGCTGGAATACTCCCACGCACGAGTAGGTGGTGCCCAAATCAATACCAATAGCGGGGGCTGCCATTTTTCAGTCTGAAACAAAAATAAAAACACAATTAATTAGACGCGGAGCACTAAATTTAATAAGGTGGGGGAACGTAAGGGGGAAGATGTCTCCGAAGAGGCGCATTTGAATGGGATTCCCTCTACAACCCATACATTTAATTTTCATCCGTTAAGATTGAGACCCCGACTGCACGCACGAATCCTTGGCAGCCCCAGCGGCAGACATGCGTCATCACGCGAGTCAGCGTTTCCTCCCAACCTCCTCCGCACTCATCAGATCCCCCTCCCCTCTTCCCCTCCCGGGTCCCCTTCCCCCTCCCGTCCCCCTCCGTTGCCGGGGCGAGGCGGGAAGAGCATCAGCGCCATGTGGTGTAAAGGAGAAGCGGCGGCAAAGACTCGAGAAGAATCGAGAACGACGTTAAAGTAAAGAAATTCAAATTAACGACGACAAGCGCAACTGCACGGAGACGCGAGACTTGTAAGAGGGGGGACGTGAGTCGAGATAAGGAGAGGGGGGAGAGGAGACGGCGGGAAAAGAGGAGAGGGGGCATGAGCAAGCGCTAATCTCAAGAAACGGTCATGGAACAAGCCGTACAAGGTGACATGAGCGCAGAGCAGTCGCGTGACTGAGACGAGGCGGCAGCAAGCTTCCGCAAGCAAGCGCAGCACATCAGAGGACGAGAGAGGAGGAGGAGGAAGACCACCACCTCCATGAAACAAAGCGACCAACCGTACAAACGAGGCGCGACACGAATCAATGGCGTGCCCCACGAGGACGCTCGCAGTCGAACTCAACTTCACCCTGCGCCCCCCGCGGCCCCTGCGGGCCCCGGCACGGCAGGGCCGCGAAGGGAGAGGAAATATCGACCCACACGAGGGGGCACTGGGCACGCGGCCATGCGGTTCGGCCGGCCACGCCACGCCACGCCACGCGCTCGGCCTCGCTTCTAGAACCTCCCAAACGGACGGACACCATAACCTCAAAAGCGACCGCGGAAAGAAGGAAAAAAACCAGAGAAAAGTGGGCGAGAGAATGAAAGGAGAGTTGGCAGAGACACCCGTCCACGGCACGCCGACTGGAAAGTCCGCCGGAAAGGCGGAACAAGGAAGGAAAAGCGCGTGGTCGGAAAATCGGGACCCGAAGGAATGAATGCGCGAGTCATCGTACCGAGATGAAGAAACGGATATTTCCGGATAGTTAATGATGGAGATGATTCATGAAGGCAAATGGGGAGTGGCTAGGTTACCCGAAAAACGTGGACGACGCCAAAGTAGAGGTTAATGAGTAACGGTCAAAAACGATCAAAGTCGTTCAATCAGAAATAACAATTACTTGGTCTTTCACTAGCTCACTGAAAGGTGGGACGATCGCAAAGGGGCAGGGCAGGGCAGGGCAGAGCAGAAACTCACCTTTAGATTAGCACGAGGTGCACACTTCGAACACAAGAACTAAGTTTCTCCCGTCAAAGACGTCTTGCCGCTGCGATGTCTGACTGTGAAGAGCGAGGCGGGTAGAATTCGGTTTTAAGGGAGTACAGCACTAGCGCGCTCTGGCGGGGAATACTCGCGAACACAGGTGAGGGGCGAGGAGGAGGGGAGGTGCGGAACTGCGACCGCAGCGCTATCTTCTTCCTTCGAGAGAGTTCGAGATCTTTGCGTTTGCCGCGAAAGTTTGAGTGAGTCACAGGTCACAGTCACTCCAGCAATGTAGTGTGTTAAGTTGCATCACTCAACCCAGCGAGATAGCGCCAAGAGTTCTTTTACAAAGCATGCAACATTTTGAAAACTGGTGAACTAAGTACACCAGTTCAATTTTTATTCGCTATTTATTGTATTGGCAGATTGATAGCTAGCCATTAATAACCCTTGAGCAAGTACCCAAAAACACAAAACGGTCTCTTTTTGTCATTTGACTGTTTTTCATTGTCGAAGTAAGTCGCTTTCTTCCCAAATTTTGACTGGTTAGTCGAAATTAATTCACAAGGACACTTGGACAGTCAAAACAGTTCAATGACAAAAAGTGAGTGTTTTGGGGCATTGGTTAGAAAAAATAATGAAATCAAACACTCTCACAATTAGATGATGATGGTCGTAGTGAAGCTTGACTCAACAACATGTTGCTGTTTTTCATGAGATACTAATATGATGAGACACTTGAGCTGCGGTGTAATAGTAATATAAAAGTATTATCGGGAGTTCGGTCATCAGTTCAATAAGTACCCTCATGTCAAAGATTATTATTAATGTCAGAAGTATAAATGATAAAGTAGTCCAATGCTTGTGAGTTTCATATTTTATGAGTAGATAGAATACAGGAATGGAACTGTGCCTCAATAAAGTGTAACTGACGAACATCCTGCTCTTACTGTCTACCCCGCGTGAATTATCTTATCAACTTCGCCTTGTCTTATCAATCCAGGGTACAGGACTAAAATGTTTCACGATGTCATCAACTGATATCACTAATCCCGAGGACGTTCAAATGATATTTTAATGACGTCATTTCTGACAGTCAACAGGACTAAATTTTGACCAATGACATCAATTTATGTCAGCTACACAAATGTCTGTCCTCCAGGTAGCTGGTAACACCCCATAACAAAGTATTTCTTTTTAGTTACATTACTTTTGAAAAGGATATGGTCTTTTGTTCTTATTTAAGTTATTCTTGTACTGTTTAAAATATATAATCTTTAATTTCTGCTGCTATAGAAAATGTTTGATCCAACACGTTTTTTTCAATCTTTTTGTTCTCCTTGCACTTTACTCAATGATTATAATTGCTTATAAAAGCTATTAATGAGAACTCATATTTTTTTTGTAAATTTTCATGTTGAATTTTCGTGTTTTGCTTTGAGGCATATCTGCTACCTTATAAACTTGCATTTGACAAGGTAAACTCAATAGATTGGGCCATCTTTCCAGAATTGAAAACAAAAAGGGAAAAACGAAGAGTTGTAGAAATGTAAATCTGTATTCCAAAATCTGATTTAATGCTATTTGAAGATTAGGATTTGTGAATATTTGACCATCCTACTGCAGTGTGCAGGTTTTTCAATTCCTAAATTGTTAATCAAGCAAGTCAAACATTAAGTTTTTACAACTGCTGCAAGTTTTCAAAGAATATATGGCAATGACAAATCATATGTGTTTGTGGATTTGCATGGAACTTAAACATAATGCAGCAACATTGTACCTTAATTAGAGCATGGCCTGAAAAATGCACTGTAATTGTCTTAAAAATTGGCCCAGAATTCCTTTCCAAAACCGTAAGCAGAGGCGTGAAGTGATTCATCTGTGTTTTGTTCATTACAGTGCGTGTTTGGTAATGAGGGATGAAAATAAGACGGCAAAATTTAAAGACTATCATCACATTATATTTGGAGTTTGAGGGTGCTCTCTCCGACTGCCGACTGCCAGGCGGTGCGACCGTGTCACGCTTTCAGAGCGAGGAGCAGCGGTCGCAGTTCCTCTATCGTGGTCTCCTTCGAGTAGCCCGTGTTCTCCGTGAGGACGTTCGCTAGCCAGGGGCTGCGGAGGCCGAGCTGGGCCTCGCCTCGGGGCATGCGCCTCAGCGACACCTTGGGACTCTGTTCGGGGCAGAGAGCAATCGGTGGACTCGAGGTGCGCGTCGGACCACTCGGTCGATAAGAGCACGAGGTCGGGCTTACCCTGCTGAAGCAGTGGGTGACGTCGTCAGCGGCCTGGATCTCCACGACGCGGCCCGTGACCGGGTCGAGCACGTTGGGCGAGTGCCTGGCGAGTGCCGTCACTGCCGTGCGTAGGATCAGGAAGCCCTCCTTCGTGTGGGGGCGCTCGGGAGGGTCCACGGCGCGGAGCAGGCTCTCCAGCAGGTCCCCGCCCGCGGCGGACTCGAGCACCTGCGCGGGGAGGAACATGGCAGTGGTGAGAGGGCAGCTGGGCACCGGGGGATTCGCGACTTGTCGTTCAGGAGACACCCACCTCTTGCGACTTGTCGTCCGAGAAGGCGGCTCTGAGGAGGGAGACGTCCGACTGTTCGGCCGCCCACGACTGGACGCGCTGCACGTTGCCGTCGACGAGGAACGTGACGGCGTGGTGGCCGCGGCGCTCGAGCTGGCGCGCCACCTCGAGGGCCAGGGGCGCGCCCAGCCCCCAGCCCAGCACGTTGTACGGCCCGATCGAGCGCACCGCCTCGATGGCCTCGGCGGCGCACGCGGCCTGCAGCGCCAGGTCGTCCTGCGTGGCGGCCTCCACGACCATGACGGGGTTGACGACGCGGAGGGCGAGTGCGGCCAGGGCGTCGTTCTCCTCGGCGTGCATGGCGCCCAGCGGCGGCACGGCGAACACGGGAAGCGCTTCGCGGGTGTGGCGCGTCCGCAGCCCCAGCGAGGGCAGCTCCCGCACCCGGCACGTGACGCGGCCCCGGGCGGCCGCCCTGCGGGCCAGCTCGGCCAGGGCGCGCGCGCCGGCAGGCACGCCCCGGGGCGTGGCCGTGTGCAACTCCACGTCCGGGCTGTCCAGGGCCACCGGGCCGTCGAGTAGGGTGACGGCGGGCCGCGCCCCGGTGAGCAGGTCGGCGAGGTGCTCCGCGACGCTGGCGAGCGGCCCGGACAGACACGCGGCCCGCAGCCCGGCCGCACGCCGCGCCTCGCACAGCGCCGTCAGCCCGCAGGCCGTGTCGGCGCGCTCGCACAGCACCAGCAGCCCGGGGGCGTCCGCGGCCAGCCCCAGCGCGCGGTGCAGCAGCGCGGGCACGCGGCTGCCCTCCTTGGCGATGACCACCACCGAGTGCACGGGGCCCGGGGCGGCCTGGAGCACGCGGCGCGCCGCGGCCTCGTCCCAGTGCGCCACCCCCTCGACGCGCAGGTTGGTGCCGAAGAGGCGGCGGAGCGCGCGCTGACGGTGGCGCAGCAGCGGGCTGTGCACGGCCCCGGGGGCGCCGGACACGGCCAGGACCTCGCGCGCGCCGTGCTGCGACAGCAGGCTCGTCACCTGCAGCCACTCCTGCTGCTGGCCGCCCACCACGACGAAGCTCTTCGTGGCGGCGAGATCGTGCTTGACGCCGTTCTGCTGCAGGAGCAGGACCACCTTGGCGACGTCACTGCCGGCGCCGCTGCCCCAGAGCGCGTCCTTGATGCTGGCCGTGGAGGGCGAGCAGAAGGTCCTGGCGCCCTCGATGGGCTGCACTGCGCCGCTCTCGAGGCCCTGCTGCACGGCGCGGTGCACGGCGCGCCGGTCGCGCTCGCTCGCCAGGAACAGCTGGTCGCCGGACATGCCCTGCACGACGACGCTCGACAGGAAGATGTGCAGGCCGAACGTGTTGCTGGCCAGCATGTCCTGGCGTCCGAGGTGCAGCACCCTGCCCCAGGGCCGCGTGCACCGCAGGGACGCCTTGAACTGGGCCCCGGGCAGCGTGCTGAGCACCACGTTGACGCCGCGCTGCTGCGTCAGCGTGCGGATGTGCCACTCGAAGGACGTGCTGCCGTCGACGCAGCTCAGGACGTTGCGGGCGTCGAGCTGGGGGAACAGGCGGCGCACGAACTTCTTCTGGGCCTCGTTGTCCACGGTGGTAAACACGGTGGCGGCGCCCAGCTGCAGCGCCACGCGGATGGCGGCCTGCCCCAGCGCGGACGCGCCCTGGTGCACCAGGACGGACTCGCCGCGGCGCAGCCCCGCCGTCACCAGTAGCGCGTGGTACACCTGCGGACGGACGAGGAGGTCAGCGAGGAGGCCGTGCCGTGGGGGGCGACCGTCGGCGGCGACCTCCACTAGTTGGTACGTACCGTCGCGTAGGTGTAGGGCACGGTGACGGCCTCGGTGACGCCCCAGTCGCTGGGCACGGGCCAGCGCAGCATGTGGTCGAGGCGCGGGCGGCTGTTGTCCGCCAGCCACCGCGCTACGCCCATCACCTTCCCGTCGGCGGACTCCCCCGCGTAGTCCAGGTGGCCCGACCAGGCCTCCGCGGCCGGGTCGCCGCCGACCCGAGGGTTGAGGCTGTACGCTTCGATGGCGACGCCCTCCAAGCTGTGGCAGAGAGGAGCAGGGGTGAGACCGACCAGGCCGACGAGGCGGTGCCATCCACAGCCGGGACGTTCTTTTGGTAAAGGGCAAAAATTCAAACACTCAAATTTTGATTTTGACCAAATATTTTTTTACTTTCTTGAAATGATGCCAATAATGATCAGAAAAAAAATTTGGCTCAAATGATTGGCGAAATATACACATAAAAATATCTAACTCAAAAGACGCGGCAATAAATTTTGTTAAAATATTTTTTTCCTGATTCAGAGTGACATTTTGATTTAAAAAACTTTGTCCCATCCTCTGGACTTGTACAGTTTAAAAGTTACCTCTCTCTGCAATAGTCTAATCTCTGAGTTTCCGCTAATTTACCTGATAAAATTTATCCCAGCATGTTTGCCAGTGGCTGCTCAGGTAAGAAAACTGTCAAGGGGGTTGAATTCAACTATAGAAAGTGTATTCCGACAAAAAAAAGTATCGTAAAAAAAACCATAGCTAAAGTCAACCTCAGAAGGTTTAACTTAATGATGACTTACACGCTCCTTTGTACGATACTTTTTTTTTGTCAGAATATACTTTCTATAGTTGAGTTCAACCCCCTTGACAATTTTCTTACCTGAGCAGCCACTGGCAAACATGCTGGGATAAATTTTGTCAGGTAAATTAGCGGAAACTCAGAAATTAGACTATTACAGAGAGAGCTAACTTTTAAACCATACAAGTCCAGAGGATGGGACAAAGTTTTTTAAAATCAGAATGTCAAACTAAATCAGGAAAAAAATATTTCAACGAAATTTATTGCCGAGATAGTTTTTTGTGTATATTTCACCAACCATTTGAGCCAATTTTTTAAAAAAAATTTCTAATCATTTGGCATCATTTCAAGAAAGAAAAAAATATTTGGTCAAAATCAAAAATTAAGCGTCTTGATTTTTGCCCTTTACTAAAAGAACGTCCCAGCCCAGGACTAGTTACCTGGTGGCGGAGATGGCCGCGGGCGTGGCCCCGACGAGCGGTATCGCCTGCCAGCAGCCCCAGGTGCCGCCGCGCAGGACGTTGACCTGCAGCTGCAGCGCCAGCTGCCGCGTGTACAGCGGCTCCGACAGAGAGAACTTGGGCGCATCCTCGTCCAGGATGAAGACGAGCCGCGCGAGGTGCGCGTAGGGCCGGCGGCGCACCTCGTCCACCACCCGGGGCACGCCGGCGTCCGGCTGGCCGCTCCAGACGAGCACCAGGGGGCCGCCGGCGGCATCGGGAACGCGTCGCGGGGGCGGCTCGTTGGCGGACATATTCACGACGTGGGCGTCCTTGACGGGCACTGGTGCGCGCAGGAGGCTGACCCAGCTGCCGTCCAGGCACTGCTCGGCCACCACTGCCATGCCGGCGGCCTCGTTGGGCGACAGGCGGCTCTTGGACTTGGTGAGCAGGAGGCCGCCGACGTGCGCCGCCACGCGGACGGCCTCGGCCATCGTCGTCGGCGCGCTGACCGTGAGGAACACGCCCTCCTTCTTCTCCGGGAGGACGAGCGCCTGTCCCGGTCGCACGCTTACGGCGCGCACGTCCGCCTCCACGCCCATCCGCTCCTGGAGCACGGCCCTCATGGCGGGCCCCAGGACGTTGGGGCCGCTGCAGTTCTGCAGCTCCAGGATGCGGATGTTGGGCGCGGTCCTGAGCTTGGGTGGCACGCTCTCCATGGTCAGCTGCACCGCCAGGCTGAGGAACTCGCCGACGCTCTGCGGTCACAAAGCACGCCGGTCAGGGGTCGGACACAAACTCGTGGTCGTGGAAACGCCCCCTCGCCCCTCACGTCCACGCCCAGCTCCCCACCTGGAGCTTCGTGTCCCCGTACGGCACGAAGGTAAAGTTGAGCGGCGCCGGCGGTGCGGACTTGGGCTCAAGCGCGACGCTGTTGGCGCGGACCCCGTGGAAGCCGGTGGCGTACAGTCCCTCTCCAAACATCTCTCCCGTCGTGAGGTTGTAGCGCACCTCGACGACTGAAAGTCAGAAAACCTCGGTAATGCACGTCGCTGTGACTATGCTGTTGTTGTCGCGCCCTTGCGAAAGACCTCGTACCGTGCTGCGCCCTAAGCTTGATGGGGTCCACGTCGACGCGCCGCCAACGCTGCATCAGGACGACCCCGGTGGCCTCCTCGGACGCATGGTACTGCAGCACCAGGACGAGCGCCTCCAGGATGGCGGCGAAGGGGCTGGCACCGTCCACCGCGACCGTCCACTCTGGAAACGGGAGCGTAGCGCCTCGTCAAGCTCGGCCCGCACTCCCGCTACGCGACGCGGCCTCGACGGCGTCCTCGACGGCGTCCGTCACCCTCCCCATGCTCACCGTGCTCGTCCGCGCGCACGGACAGGAGCGCGCCGCCGTACTTGTCGTGCAGCACGAGGCCCTTGGAGGCCAGGTCGGTGCGCACCTCCTCGCCGGTGAGGGTGATGGCCTCGCCGGTGGCTCTGGAGGGCGGGCGTGCGCGCGGGGCGCAGTCGTCGTCGTCCTGGGGCCGCACCGTCCCCGTGATGAGCAGTCTGTCGGTGCTCTCGTCGCGCACCTCAAACGTGCCCGTCCCCTTGGAGACGGTCGTAACGACGCATGTCGACCCTGCAAGATTAGGGATTTTAATTTTCCAGGAAAGTAGTTCTGGGGAAATTTTCAAGATTTGTTATTAAATGTGTGAACTTCTCCCCCAAAAGTCTTCTTTTTACAAAATATTCTTGAAATATTTGGTTGTTGTTTTTTTTAATTATTGGAAAGTTTCCGAAAACAAAACCCGGTCTTAACATCCGGGCCCCGGGGCTGGCTGGCGGGAGTCTTACCGTCCTCTGGCAGACGCTGGTACTCGTTGACGCGAATGTTGTGGAACGTGACGGGCAAACGGCCAGCCTTCAGGTTGTGGATGAGTCCAAGAGCCCTCCACGCAGACTCCTGGGGACAGGTTTGCACGGATCAGTTGAAGTATACGGACATTTGTTGGGTCGGGGGGGGGGGGGGGACTCTAAGGGTTCCTCACCAGCTCCTCGACGGGGGGCAACACCTTCGACCCGTTGACGGACATGTGTGGGCTGTGCGCGGTGAGCTCGAGGGACTCGCAGCCCTCGCGGACGGAGCGGAACTTGAAGCCGTAGTAGATGGTCTCGTCGTGCGACCAGGACACGAGCGGCGACAGGGCGGGCGTCCCCGTCGAGACGGGGAAGCTGACGGGCGGGTACAGCTTGGCCACGTCCAGCTCCTGGCCGTGGAAGGACGCGGTGCCGAGCGCGCCGAGCAGGAAGCGCACGGGGTCCGCGGAGCCGCGCTGCGTGAGCGGGAGGTGCGAGTTCTCCGGCAG